AAGTCTGTACTACTTATATTTAAATTTTCAAAGCGATCTAGAAGCTTTGACCCGACAAAATACACTTTAATAAAAACGCACCATTTTCCGGGTAATTTGGGTTTACGCCTTTCGTTTTCGTCACATGATATGTGCAATGACGTAACAGTTGCACAATCACATGATCCGGGTTCCCGTGAGTTACCCTAGCCAATTTCAATTCGTTTTCCAATAAAAAAATTTTACTTAAGGTTTATCTTTTTACCAATTATTCTAGCGGGCAAATTTGCCCGCTAAACCCGGACGGTTTAAGGGATAGTCACTACAACATTGCTAACTAGAAGAAGCTGGTCACTGGAACCCCATTGGAAGCAAATTAATGGTACCAATGGGACTTTAATATATTATTGCAAATTCTTATTGGAAGATTAAAAAATTCCCACAACACTATTTTCAAATATTAGAATTTTTATGATTGGAGATTCCCAAACCTCGAAGTATTTACAACGAAAGTTTCCCGAGAACGTATCAACATGACGAATATTTTGATGTATTGCGTTTTGAACATTTACATGGTTTATTTTCAACAGTTACATTGTTTAGAAAGGATAAGTGCAGCGTTCAACTGCTTTGCCGTAAAAAAATTTTTTTTTTTTTAATGGAAATAATAGAGTTTGAGACCGGTTTTATTTTTCATATGCTAAAACCGAATGAAACCTTTCAACATAAATAAAATCGGTTCCAATCTCTAGGAGATAACAATTTAATCTTTCTACTAGGGATGGCAAAATCATGATTTAAATCAAATTTTAAATGATTTACAAATGATTTAAAACATTTGATCTTTATTACGTAATTCAATTATTTATTTGACTTTGAATGCGAAATAACAAAAGATTTAAATCTGCTTTAAATTAATTTAAAATAAAAATCAGTGATTTATATCATCGTGATTTAAATCACATACCATCCCTACTTTCTACATACAAAACCTATTCTCCAAAAAAACAAAAAAAAAAAAAAAAAAACCAATGTTTTTATTCAATTAAATTTGGCATTTACATAACTAATAAAGTTAATATACAATAAATTCGATTCGTATCGAAATAAAAATATCAATCAAAAAAAAAAAAAATTCTTACAAAAAATTATAAAAAAAAAGATTCGAATTGTTTGGATTGTCCGGATTGTTCTTTTGGTAAAATAAAAACAATAATTAAACAAAATCACATTCGAATGAAGAGAAAAAAATTATGTGGCGGTTTCCAGCCTTCATACGAAATAAGAATACACCACACGTTATTTTCTTATTATTTGAAAAACTTCATATTCAAGTACCCAGAATTTGCTCAATGTAGTAACTCTATCAGTGTAATCATCTTTATCACTGGAACAACTATCATAAGCATTAAAATTATTTTTCATCCATAAATCTTTATCGCCAAAACAGGGACCATGAGTTTTATCTTTGATCCTAATAGCATATCCTGGCCTACTAACCCTGCTCAACTTTGCATCATTTAGATTACCTTGTTTTGGAAAACTAAATAAAAAGCTATTTTGCGTTGTTAATCTAATATCGCCAGTTGTCCATTCGATAGGATTATATCCTCCTACTAATTCACCAGAATATGCTATTTGCATTACAACTATAGTAGCACCTTTATTATCACATTTTTCATGAAAAGTTTCAGCTTCAAAGCCATCACGACTTCCGCGAATTAAAAGTTTAAATTTATAAGGAATCTCTTCAAATGTGTAGGGTTTACCGTCTTTACGATCTATCCAATCACAAAGTTTAGCTACATGTTCAGCTTTGATCAAAGTTGAATCAAATGGAATAATTCTTGGCGGTAATGCATATTTTGGTATTAGTGATAGGGACGACAAGCCATTGGAACTGTTAATAGCAGAATTTCTTTTGAAATGATAGCGAATAATATCCTCTTTAAGATTTTCGGGTAATATCTTGTTAAAAGGCCAAACTTTATCATAAAAATCGCTTGAAGAAATTTGAAAAAATCTAATCAAAGGAATGCAATTGTGTAATATACGTTCTAATTCCTCAAAATCTTTATCGGTCCAATCCGCTATTTCGGAAATAGTGTGATTGACATTAGTGTTTTTTGTAGTCGCATTATTATTGTTTGATGATGAAGTGATTGTCAGCGAATTGGAGGATGTTGAAGAGGTAGGCATTTGTGTAAGTCCCCATTGCACTAAATGATCCCAAATTTCAATCTCGTCAGTTTGTAAATCATCCCTACTTAATAAAGGTAATAAAAGAGCCTCTTCAAACGACGGAAAGTCTTTTGACTCAAATACAAGTAAAGGATTTTTGCAAATTGTTTCCAGGCAGAAACTTTGTAATTTTTTACATCCATCATAAGGATAAATTGTACGATGTACTTTGACAACGTTCCTTTTTACCCAGTCTGATTTCGTTGATAGTAAATATTCTTGTACATGTTCAAAAAGTTCCGAAAGTAATAATTCGTCTGATGCGATTAATAAGTCTAGAATATCTGTATTGTCATGATTTCCTAAATTTATCGAACCACTATATATATACCTACATAATGACAAAAAAAGAGTATTAAAGAATATTCATTGTAATAAGTCATAGAGGCAGATATCACATTAAAAATACAACTTACTTGAGAATAAGTTCAAACACTACTGGAGAAACATTAGGTTTAGAAAAAACAGTAGAATCACCTTCTTTCCTGGCCCATTTATCTGCCAAAGCCGTTCGGAAATAAGGTGATCTAGCTCTTAAAATTACCGAATGTGCATGAAAAGTTTTTTCGTTCGAATTTTCTCCTACTTTAATTATGACGTTATAATCATCAGAATCGTCAAGAAGTTGTCCGAAATCTCGTGAAAGTCCACCAAAAAACTCAGAAGACATTTTTATTAATCGTTCCTTTTAACGTTGGTTTTTTTATTAGTATTTAAGTTATTTAAACGGGGATGAGTCAAAGTAAGACAAAATTGAAAAAAAAATTTAAAATGGGATTTTGTAGTATCACTAAAAGAGTGTTTATTAATTGCCACAAGAGAAGAGAAAAAAGATGTCTAAAAATTAGTAATGATTGGCGTACGTCTAAGTATTTATACTTATTCATGTTAAGTATATACGTACGTACGTATTGTTTGCTTATTTAGTTTAAAAAATTAATGAATATCGTCTTTCCTTTTTTAATTTATGCATAACATAAAAATCACTTCTTATGTTTATTCATAATGCTCAAAGTGGGCCCATTACTCCTAACGTCTGACAAATTCCATCATGATATTTTCGAACTCATTATAACCCATAATTACGTGTACTAGAACCAATAGGAATTTAGAGCTAAATAAGTCACAAATAAAATATAAATATAAATAGTATAACTCGGCATGATCTATTTTACGCCAATTGAGATTTATACATTATATATGAATCAAATATACAGGGTCTAACCAGTTAGAAAGTTCCCGTGCATCCTACTAAAAATGGTTAGGTGCTTGCATCTTAAATCCCTCGCTTCATGATTTTGGGTTTCAAACGTTTGTTTCTTTTTCTTTTTTTTTCATGCAAATTGTTCATAGATTATCTTTGGAGATCTCGAAAATACAAGATGAGGCTAGTTTGAGCAAGTATTCATTTTGGTAATGGTTACATTGATTTTTTGATATTATCAAAGGTAATAAGTAGTACACATTTGCATGTTTTATTGGTATCTATTATATGTCTAAATTACTCACATGCAGAGATAAGAGACGTCTCGTTCTTTAATTATCACGATTAAATGAACTTAAATGAACTTAAATTGTAAATAATCCAATTTTATCAACTTATTATCGTATCGGTATATCTTCAGGTTTATATTTACGAGAAGCATTTAACATTCTTGAATGGGGCTTGAGGGGTGTTATAAATGGCTATGAACTTTGTTCTAAATGTCTATATTCTCGGAAAGATTTTTTAGTTCCTAAATACAGAAATAGCGGACTTGTCTTTACCGCTCCCAAACTTACATTTTCCGTGATAATCTGATCTATTTTTCCCATCTTTAATACCTATTACGAAGTCAGTAAAAGATGATTGGATCCAGATCTTTTTAAAGTTCATTTCTCATGAAATCAATATCGATATGTAAATTCTATAAGAATATTTGCAGAAGTATTTATAATGTAACCAAAAATGATAAGGTAATACAAATTGATATATTTTATGTGGATAAAAATCGCCCATAGGTTTGGGCTGAATTACGCTGATCGTTGCGATTGGCCAAAGTTATCTAGAATTGTATTTTAATGTCAGCTGAATTAAGTGGTTAAACACAGGTAAATTTTATTCCCTATTTATGGGTCGATTTCTATAACGACAAGTGGCTAACTTTCGAAATGGAATTGATTACATATATTTTGGCATTATTAAAAATGCCTTACTGATACGTACGTACGTACTCGTCTGCTTTAATGTTTTGTATTTATTATTAAATTTGTACGTACGTAGAACAAAAAAGATTTTAAGAATTCACTAATTGGTTTGGGTTATAATTAGCTAATAAAATTTTTTCTTACCAAAATCTAATTATTATTACGTGCTATATTAAAAAATAATTGATTTTATATAATATTAAATATTAAATTATGCTTACGTACGTACGTACAAACCAGTAGTGTTTAACGCCACAGTTACTGTATTTTAAAAATTAGTTAAGTAATTAATACAGATGACTCACATTAAATACGTATCAACTTATATACAGTATTTGGATTGGATAATTATGTTAATACGTATCTACGAGGGTTTGATAAATAATCCAAACTTAATTTTTTATTAATAAAAAGTTGACAAAAAATTGCACAAATATTTTTTTTTATAAATACATATTTATATTTTAATTAAAATCTAAAGAAATTATAATTTATTATTGCAAAGTGTAGTTATTAATAATATTTCAATATGATTAAAATGTATTATTAATGTATAGTTGCTTGATTCTAGCTAACTCACATTAGATATATTGAGTAAAAATATTCAAAAGCTTCAAAAACCTTATGCTAACTAAAATTTGAACCTTTATATCTAATCTTTATCTTAATTTGTAGCTGTATTCTAACTTTAAATTTTAGTAAAAAATATTAATACTATAAATACTATTGATACATTTTTATAATTTTTAATAT